ACTGAGCCATCTCACCAGCCCCTACCAAAGACTTTCAAGCATTGTAAGTAATGTGAAGACCCTCAACTCCTGCTGAATTTTCCTACACAACCAATCCCTCCAGCTTTTTTTTTTTTTTTTTTTTGGAACTGGGGATTGAACTCAGGCCCTTATGCTTGCCAGGCAAGTGCTTATTCTACAAAGCCATCTCCCCGGCCCTGTCTCCAGCTTCTTACAGGGTACCTCTCTTTCTCTCTCTCCCTATTGCACACCAGCCAAGAACCCTTGATTCCTTACCTTAAACAATTACACCTCCCTTCCACCTTGGGCTCAACAGGAGCACCAGAAACCTCTGCAGGCACCGCCTTCCCCTCACCTGCCCCTGGCTCTCAGCTCAGAGATTGTTTCCTCAAGAAACCTTCCCAGGCCTCCCCCCATTCTAGGTCACATGTGAGGGCTTCCTTAGCTTGGGCTACTGTAACAAGACACCTTAGAAGGATGATTTAGAATCAACAGGCAGTTACTGCTCTACACACTAGGGTGGCTAAGATGGAGGTACCAGCAGATGCAGACCTGTTGTCTGAGTCCAAGGGGCTCTTTGTTTCCAGACGGTACCTTCTGTGTGTCCCTTCACGTGGCAGACCAGGCAGACTCTTTTATGAAGACACTAATACCCTTCACAAAGGTATCACCCTTAGAAACTAATCAGCTCCAAAGGCCCCACCTTTAATATCAAGCTGCTAGAAGACAGATTACCCTGTACCTTCCAGAGCCAACAACCTGCTAGCACATAACAGTTGCTCAATAAATGGTTTTGCTCCTCTCCATATGTATAATTCGACATAAGGTCTACTTGAGGATTCATCCTCACTGGAATTTGGGTACTTAATCATCTCTCTTGCTCTACTCTATCCTGAAGGGAACCAAGAAAGCTGCTTAACTATTAACCCTGGAGCTCAGCTTTAGAAATGCTAAAACTAAGAATATTCCCTGTGAAGTTTCACCCTCCAGAATGGCCTCTCCCCCTCTGCTCCTGGAAGCCTTCTATACCTGCTGCTTTTGGAGTCCAGAGTCTGGACCATGTTGTCGATCAGGCTTCCCTGTTTGGGTGGAGCTGTTGTGTCCCTCCATGAAGAATTCTTGGTCATATGCTTGTTTCCTTAATTATAATTCCATGTCCCCTATATGCATATGGTGCCCAGAGACATAGTGGCGGTGAATGATGCAATGTTGAGACCTTCTCCTTCATCTTAGCAAGGGGACAGCTAAGAGTTTTGGTATAAGGGGCTAGGGAGATGGCTCAGTAGAATAAGCACTTGTCTGACAAGTGAAAGGGCCTGAGTTCAATCCCCAGTTCTGCCAAAAAAAAAAAAAAAAGAGTTTCGATATAGGGATTATTTTTCTACTTGCCATCGAGGGTTTTTTGGTTTTTTTTTTTTTGGAACCAGGGATTGAACTCAGATGCTTGCGTTTGCCAGTCAAGCACTTATCCTACTAAGCCATCTCCCCCTTGCCATAGAGTTTTGTCATCCTGGGAAAGTTCTCTTTGAAACATTCCTGAATCTAGCTGTTCTCTGGCCTTTACTTTTCCTGCCTTTATTTTTCAGAAAGAGGCCTCTTGGAGAAGCTATCTTTTTCTTCTGTTTTTCCAGGCTGGGTGAGGTTCCTGAAGCAGAAGACCTGGCCTCCCAGATGCTGAGAGGCTTTCCTCGAGCGCGAGTATCCGCCCAAGCAGCACTTGACCACGAGTATTTCCGCGCCCTGCCGCCTCAGCTGTTCCGCCTTCTTGATGGTGAGCGGGGAAGTGCGTGTGTGCCCCTGTGTGAATTTCTATGTGGATGTGTACATATGCGTTAAGTCTCCGGCTCTTCAGTCGTTTTCTCTCAATGCTGAAGAGTCATAGACTTTGCACCCAGAATGAAGTTAGAGATTAATTTGTCTCTGAGAAGCAAGATGGGACCCAGTGTCGCCTGAGTTTGGCATGAGAGTCTGTAAAACTCTAAAGCACTGGGTGGGACACGTGGCTAGGATCCATCCAGCCTCTCAGCATACACATACACGCAGGACCAGGACAAGATGAAATTTGCCACGGAGTAGTTCGCTTCAGCTAGCCTCTGCCAGAAGAATCGAAACCGATGTTTCTAAGAAGTCCCTTCTCTTGTTCCATGAAGAGTCAGATGATAGGCGACATGGATATGTTGGAGAGGAGCACTGGGCTTTTTTGGGCTGGTAATGTGATGCTACAAAAGGAAGAGATGGGATCTGGGGAAAGGAAGCACCCTCTGAGACTGGCTGCCCTCTGGAAATGCAAGTTACCCTGACATCAGCTTTGCTGCCCCAGCCTGCAGTCACCCTTCAAATCTGAGCTCTGCTGGTCAGGTGGTTGGAGCCTTCCTTGTGTTTCCCGGAATGTGGCCACAAAGGGCTCTGGAGGATGAGCCCTGCACAGGCCAAGCCAGAGCCGTTTTGAGGAGACTGTCTGTAGGTGGCCTTTCTTTGAAAATACCCACCATTCAAATGAAAACAGTTTTCAGAATCTTAGAGAAAAGCAAGGCAAGCAGGAGGGTCCAGGAACAGCTCAGACTGGGAAGAGGGGAATAGGATGGGGAGAGGGGGAGGAGCTACCCTCCAGGGGCTGGAGCCCTGTGGCAGCAGCAGCCGTTGTCAGTGTTTACAAATGCAGCTTCACCATATCTAAGACAATGCCCTACAATAGCCCAAAACTCCTAGTTTGAGACTTGTTGAGGAATTGTATTATTAAAGTGAGCCTTTTAAGACATCCAGAAATAACCATAATCATACAACTGAGGTTAATGTCTTACTTAACCCTGTAAGAAGAGTCAGCCATTAGAATTTATTAAGTTGCCATTAAGTGTCAAGAACATATGAAGTGCTATAAAAAGTTGAGGGAAACAAGAGACTCGTCCTTGGCCTCAAGGATCTCATTGAGTGGGAGGAAAAGAGGGTGAGGAAGAGGAAACAGGGCATTCTCATACACATATTAGCACAAATCATATCTAAACAGCTAAAATCTGTGCATAATCAGCTGCAGATGTTCAGAGGCTGTGTGTGCTAAAGGCAATTCTTTAGAGAAACAAAAACAATTCAAGTGATATGGCTTGGACTGAAGGTGAATTTGAAGTGGAATTTGGGAGGAAGGGAGAGACTGGGCTTGGTGTCTGGGGGAAGAGGCAGACCCGGACAGACCTATCACTTTCCCTTCTTGGCACCTCTGCCCCGTTTCAGCCCTGCCCCTCCCACCCTCATCCCCTCTCTTCCAATCTGAATCCCAAGATCCCTCTTGGCTTTCTTCTTTTGGGGTTGGAATTTCTGACTGTACCATATCATACAAATAGAGATGTCTGTGTGTGTACACACACGCACACACTCCTTTCTCTTAAAAAAAAAAAATCTTTCCCATCAGCCCTCCTCCAGGGTCTATTAATCTACACACCAAGAACTGTTGAGGATCTTCAAAGTTTTCCAAGCACCAGCTTTTGCCTGTTGAAGGGTAATTAGGAAGAAACAATCACTGTCCCGATGGATGTGATATGAGAAACTTGGGTAGTGATTCTTCTTGAATGATTTGAAGCAAAACTACCAACAGAGGAGCCCTGGTGCATGCATATCTCCAGTGTGTGTGTGTGTGTGTGTGTGTGTGTGTGTGTGTGTGTGTGCACGCGCTTCCATGTGTGTCTGTGTATGTCGTGTGTCTCTGTGCACTCGAGTGACAGAGACAGAATAATCTGTATTCCTTCTCTGTTCACCCAGCCATAGAGCCCAAATCTACTTTGACACTTTTAGAAAAATGAAAAGATGGAATCTTGCAGGAGCCTGCCTGTGCTGGGGGAGATGAGGAGTGCTCGCAGCAGGAGGGAAGTTGACTTTTCTTTATACATATAGGGGTTTTTCCATGCAGAGTTTAAATTATGCCTGATAAAAGGAGTTTCGTGGATGTTTCAGTTCTTTCAAATTCTCCTGGCTTCCTCCCAATTAAATGAGGTTTGTCAAAGCCACAGGGCTCTGCTGCTGCTGCCTCTGCGGACAAGCACTTCCTGCAGCGACATCTCAAATCCCTGAGGGAGAAGATGAAAGGGCCAGCGCCAAGAGACAGGGGGAGTGAGACGGTGCGTATGTGTGTGTGGAACATGAGCATGTGTGTGCATGTATTTGTGTGTGTGTGTGTGTGTGTGCACGCACGCGGAAGGGTGGCTAGAGGAGTATGTAGAGAGACAGATCAACATTAGATGTGGGACAAGTAGACAGGAAAAGCAAAGCTGCCAGAAAAATTGGAAAGAAAAACAGAGGAATGGAGAGAAGCAGCCGGGGTTAGTCTGTGCACCTTTCCAGCAGTTGCCCTGGCCAAGGGCACTGTATCCGAGGAAGGTGCATTCCCTGAGCCTGCAGTGCAGCCTGGCTTCTCATTGCCCCTGGCAAAGAGCCTTGCTAAGCGCCTTCTTCACAGGCAGTACCAGTGGGCAATCACTGTGGTTCTCAACCAGCAGGGACAGGAAATCTCCATCCCCAAGGTGGGCTGCCTCAGGCATGAGAATTGTGTGTGTGTATGTGTGTGTGTGCGCGCACACGCGCGCGCGCGCGCGCGAGAGAGAGAGAGAGAGAGAGAGAGAGAGAGAGAGAAGAAAGAGAGTAAAGACCTGCTGCATAAGTAGAGTTCCCCTGCCATAATTATACAAGAAATCTTGCTCTCTGGTAGCATTTCAGTGTGGAATCATTTAGAGGCATATATTTATATCAGTTTATTATTCTGGTTGCAGGATAACAGAGTTGTCACTTTAAAATATATTCTGTTTCCCCTTTGATCTGGAAGATGCCAGCTCTTATTGTCTGCCCTCTGAAGAAGACAATTAAAGCATGAAACTTGTGCCTGGGAAATATGTGCAGAGCAGGGGACAGCCTGCATCCAAGCAGAAGAGTGGTATAGAAAGTCCCCACAAAATGAAAGGATCACCCCTGTCCTTCCATGTCAATTTTCATCAGTCCAGTCCTGAGCAACACTTTCTTGAGATTGTAGTAGTAAGCTTAGAGCCAGGGGAAATTTATCAGGAGGTTATTTGCCATGAAAAAACAGGAATTCCAGGATTAGTTCCCTTTTGGAGGTTTCTCTTAAGTGGGAAAGCGTGAATATTGAGAATGGCAAGCATGTGGGAATGTCTGCCAAGTTCTGACATTTTCCCTCATTGACTCTTGAACACCTGAAGAAACATTTGTGGAAGGAGAAATTATTGGTAGTCCCTCTCCAAACACCCCCAACAGCAAGCTAATTGCTTTTGCAGATGGCCAGGGACTGACTCGCCCGACTCAGGCACGCACTTGTGGCCCTTGTGGCCCAGCCAGCGGTGCAGGACGTCAGCTGGGGCAGCAAGGGCCTAAAATTAGGCACTTGGCAACACTCTAATCTTAGTTACAGGTTTAGCTTCTCCATTTAATTCCCTTTGCCCTCAGCATGAACTTCAGCTCTGGGAAAGGAACAGTGTTTAGTGATCTGGAGTAGAAGGGGGAGAAAAATCATTAAGCTGCCCCTTGTAGAAACTGGCTCTGCTCTGTTCTTATAGGAAGCCTTCCAAATGTTGCCCTTGGAAAGTTAAGACTGATTTTGGAACCTAGCCATTTTGAAGTACACACTGATCCAGAAAAGTATTATTATTATTTTTTATCTTGGGCAGTAAATGCCACGTGATTTAAGAGTCTGGTCCTTAAGCCATGGTCCTTGATCGTCGAGACATCAAAGGCTGTCTCTCTTTCTCTGTGGGTTCGTTCCATTTTCTATACAAATCTCAAGCTTCAGTCTCCACTATTCTATTTTTTCCTGGAATAAATCCTTCTTTGAAACATGTTTCAGCATCTTAGGGAGAAAAATGGTTAAACTTAAAAGTTTGCAATTGTTTCACAAATAAGTTTGCGAATGTGATGTGCCTTAAACTGTATTGTCGCTGTATTCGTGCACACACATTGTCACTGTATACTTTCATGCTCTCAAGGACAGAAGAAGGCATAGCATTGAAACCCGGGCCTTTCATCACACCAGCCTGATAGCTGTACTCTGATAGCTCTTGGGAGGCGCCACTCCCTACTCATTGCCCTGTTAAAATCTGAGCTGTATCTGGTTTCACTCCAATAAAAGAACTTTGGGCCCTTTTTTAACATTATCTTTTTAATATATTTGAAGATGCCTATGACATCATTTCCCAATGGTCATCTCCCTCCACTGAATTCCTTTAACCATTTTTTTATTGTTGTTTCCACAGAGATTCTGTTTGTCCCACTTCTTTAGGTTTTTTTTTTTTTTTGAACCGGGGATTGAACTCAGGCCCTTGCACTTGCCAGGGAAGCACTTATTCCACTGAGCCATCTCCCCGGCGCCTAGTTGTTTGTTTTTTTTTTTGTTGTTGTTGTTGTTCATTATTCTATTCTGAATCAGTTCCAGTTATTTTGCTTATTTTGAGACCCTGGATCCAACATATACTCAACAAAATGAGAAAAAATGAGCTCCAGGTCATTCATCCAAGATTTCCTGACTCTCCATTAAGTGTAATATTGAAAGGCACAAAATATGCATTCATCATGGATCCTGTCCTCAAAGAGCTTGCAGTCTTGAAGGAAAAGAAATGAATATGGAAACAGTTACAGGTCATGAAACATATATAAAGTATTCTGAATGTATATGCAGGAGGTGGTGGTGGCGGGGATTCTGGATGATTTTATGAGTGGGTCCTCAGGAATGATGATTCTGAATGGCTGGGGAGAAAGGACATCAAGGGAACAGAATGCTGA